ATATGCCTAATATGCCTTATTTAATTATTCGTTTGTTTTAATTTAATTGTGATATTTGCCAAAAAGTTTTACTCATTTACATTGACTACTTATTGAACTTTTCACATTTTACATTTTTATTAAATCACAAATATATAATTATTGTCATGACTGAGTCCATAATAAGGCAAAAACCGTCCAAACCGTCACTTCGATCGAAAGCGAAGCATGGCCAAGCCTCCCACTGGTGGACCAACGATTGGTCAAAGTCGCTGATGCCCACTGGATGCGCATGACACAAGACCGGCTGTTGTGGAAATCTCTGAGTGTGGCCTATGTTCAGTAGAGGACATATTTCGGCTAAAACGAACGAACGTCACTTCGATTCCCCTCACATAGTAAGTTAAAGAATAGAGAAGTTTATTTTAAAAATCTTATATTACTCATTTTCTTCAATACATGAACTAGCATCGTCCAAAATATGTACACAATTAGACATGGTTTATGTATAAAAACTGTTTAGTCTATACCCTGTACTTTACTCTATACCCTGTACTTTACTCTATGCCCTATACGAATACGTTTAAAATATGATGAATATTTTGATTTGAAAGGCAGTGGTAGCCCAGTGGTAACGCGACCACTTGGGTAAACCGAGTGAAGCGGGTTCAAATCTCGTTCACCTCTAATTTCTTATGTGCGAATCATTTCCAATATGATTATCATTTGTCTTACGGTGAAGGAAAACATCCTGTGAAACCTGCATGTCTGAAAGAACCTAGCAAGTTTTGGAAATATATATGAAGTCCGCTAACCCGCACTTGGCCAGCGTGGTGGACTGCGGCCTGATCCCCCTGGTGATGAAAAGAGGCTCGCGCCCTGCAGTTGGACGTCAAATAGGGCTGCATATTTCTCCTACTACTATTTGATGAACTCACAGGATTTTTCTTAATAAAATTAAAATTTACATATAATCTACCTAACAACTAATAATTAAATATGCTATCCCTGACCAGAGTATACACCCACCAGACCATCTTGACTATAATAAACAAATAATAAATTGATTGATGCATTCATATTACAAAACGTTGAGATTATATCCTTTCGAATCCAGGTCAAAGCGAAATAAGTATTATGTCGGACGTGTATGAATGTTAAGTAGTGTTTAAGATGATATTCGTTTAAAACTTGCAAAAGATGGATATATTTACTCCATTGCCTTGTGGTGCATCTATTGCTTTTTCTCTGACAGCCCAAGGTTTGATTTCATTAAAGGTAATTCGTAATAATATATAATATAATGACCCAGTTTCGTTACATGATCTAATCAAAAATGATACGAAGGACCAAGGTTACTGACATAGCCCGCCCAATCTAAAAGTTATAATGGCTGAAGTACATTGCTAGCAAAACAGATGGTCGCTGGGAACGAAGAGTCTTCGAGTTGTGACCATATAGCGGAAGACGAAACATAGCTCTCCCACGAGATGGACCGACGACTCGGTCGAACTTTCTGGAACCCGCTGACAGATGTGTGTGTATGCGTGCGTGTATGCTTACTCCTTCTAATTGCTGAACGAATTTGGAAGAAATCTAATTTACAAATAGACTATGAACTGGAGTAACACCTAGGCTATTGTTTCTATTAAACTATACAAAAACGTCGCGCTGTCTGTATGTCTTTATATATAAAGTTCCCGTGTCACGATATTGGTCCGCAATGAACTCCAAAACTACTTATTCAATTTTAACGTTTTTCTTTTCAAAATATGTAATTTACTCTAACTTAAAAGATATTGATATTTTTTATCTTGATTATTCCCTTTTTTATTGCAAAATTAACGATCCGGAGATATGAGATAACACCACTCAAACTCTAATCCATCTCTGGCTTAAATAAAAATGAAAATGGTCATAATATAATTTGTATTGTTTTGTTTTTTGATGCTACAAAATGCTCTATAAACAATGCACTCAAGATGGTGATGATCATGACGTTAAAGTTTTGGCTTAATTAACAAAACCTAGATATATACCTACATATATACTTTAAAAACTACTTTGGCTTGGTTATTTTATTTCTAACAAATCTAGAAATGGTAGGCATACCTATATTTCATTTAAAAAAATATATAATACTGATTTCTGAAGAATTTATACGTGCACTATTTTTAGAGGTGGATATTTTAGTCGCATTTTATAATCTCATAGTTTTATTTTTTTTAAATCGTGAAAATCTGTTCATCTTTAGTATAAAAACAACATACATACATACATACATACAAAAATAGTACCTACTTTTTAATTCGGTTAATATATATGTACAAAAACCCATCTACTAAATAACTATTTTTATTATAATACGGTTTTCATAAAGAATAATAATCATTTACACTTCTTCCTTGTGAGATTGGTACAGACTAGCATAATTACAGTAATCTTGTGCTGTGAGCTAAGTCTAATAATTTGTCTAAATCTAGATTAGACATGACTTATGCTGAATCTCGAGGTCCATCATTAATAATTTCGGCTGATGTTCAAGATGTGAGGCCGTTTTGATTCATATTATGATCTATGTTGCATCACTTGAATTATAATCTATACATATAATAAAATTGTAACTAAGCCGAATCTGTACATTAAATATTTTTTTGGAAAATCTTATTGAAATAAACATTATTATCGATACAGAGGCCAAATCTATAGTTTTTAGAATTTTTGTCTGTCTATTTGTCTGTCTGTCTGTCTGTCTGTTACCGCATCACAGAAAAACCACTGAAGGGATTTGATGATATTTGGTATGGTGATAGCTGGTTATCCGATTCTACATATATGATACTTTTTACCCTGGGAAAATAACTCATTTCTGAAAAAAAAATACAAAAACTGTAATGTCAGAGTATACTAATATATAAAACCTAACAATTTGGTTTTTGGTCATCTGAACGCGGGTGGAGCCGCGGGCAATGCTAGTGTATCTATAAACATAATATTGACATCTACTAGGCGTTATAATTCAGTATTGCTGTAATTTAGATTTTTATTTTGAAGATCATATAAAGCCGTCCTGCTCAAGCAATATCTGTCTGCGCAAGCATAGTACATATTTGTGCACTATAATTTTCTGCGCATAGCTAGTCTCTTTGAGATGTTGCAGTAATCGATATACAGGTCAGATAGACCTTATTGTTCATTTTGACCATATTTTTGATGAGGATTTTATACAATAGATTTTTTTAATTGAGCAAAATGTAATTCCTTACAAGTGTCAATATGTCACTATTATTAAGCCGTGTTGACACGAACAAAGTCTACTTTGACAAAGTAGTTTTGATGACTACTTTGATCGTGTAAACGAGCAATCAAAGCGCACTTACAATAAGTAGCTCCTGCTATTTTTCCGATAGCAGAGTGGACCATGTAACTTTTGAGTTGTTGTGGTCTGTCTCGATAGACCAACATGATTAAATCTATTAAGTGATCCTGTGATACCTATTCCGTAGGATTTTATTCAGTATCCTTATCGTATCGTTCGTTATCTTTATCCCTACATAACCATCTGTAATTATGCAGGCTTGTATCCTTGAAAAAGTAATACATATATACAATACATGACAATAATAATATATTATAAATATGACAGCATACGAGTGACTTTCACTTGCTCTTTGTATGGAAATACCTATGTACTTATTTATCATCATTCCATATCTCCGTTATCTTAATTTTGTATTGAAACTAAAAAATTTCAGCCTTAAACTATATTATATATTTTGGGTCAAATAATATAATAGAGATACCTAGTTGTCATTTTTGTTTTTTTTTCACATGGCAAAGGATTTTAATAAAATTTAAGTTACATAGTTTACCTTTAGCTTAAACATGTAGAATGCGTTTAGATTTCTCATGCATACAAAGTTGCAGGATAACTAATTGCAATATTAAAGATGAGCAATAAAAACAATAAAAATAAAAATCTAGAGCATAATTTAGTACTGTTTTCAACCCTTTATAACGTCCCACTGCTGGACGATACTCGAAGACGCCTGAACCGATTTGGAAACAGTTTTTTTTGTTTTGAAGGGTATACTTCCCAGGTGGTCCCATTAAAATAGTTTAAATAGTTAAAAAAAAACAATTTTTCTAAAACTAAACATAATTAGGTATGAACTCTAATTATAGATAAAATATAATACATCAATTTGTGATATATTTTACGAATTGAAATATATTAGATTTGCTTTGCATCGGCTGGCACCGACTTCGAAAATATCTGATCAGGTATCTATTCTAAATGAAAATCCCCGTTTAGTTATTTTTTATATTTTAGTGCCTGGAAGTCAGTTTTTTTTAAGTTTTTATAAAAGCAAAAGTTGAATTAAATGTTTTTTTTTCATTTTTCATTTTAATTTTTTCGAACAAGTTCGCTTTGACTTTAAAATATGTGGCTAAAAGTAAGGTTAGGTTATCTATTTATTTTTTATAAAATAAAAAAGAGATACATATTGCTATACAATATTTATTCATTACATATCATATTTACAATCGTAATAGACTATTTTTTATATTTTTTAATACATTTTCTTCTTAAGCCTAGTACTGTCCATTTACATAGCCTTGCAAACTAAGAACTTATAACTAACAAGTATTTAACAAGAAATGAAATACAGAGAGCATGGTGTTATGAGATCATTAATGAAGATGAGAGGCAAGAAAGACTTTGTAAACAGACATGAGTATTAAAGTCGGTGCACGGCAGTGCAAAGCCAAGTTCTTTGATACTGCCTAGCATTTGTACAAATCACATAAACGGTTCACAGCATATTTCGTTGTCAAGTTGACAGGGCGCTATAAATATAACAACAAATTCGTTTATTAAAAATATTAGCCAAGTATTGGTATTTAAGATCTTAATCGGAAGACTTCATATGTGAAATTCGGTGGTACTTATTCAAAAGTATAATAAACTTTCCTACTTATACCGAAAACGAAGCTAATATCTTTAAGTTGCTAATTTAATAACGGTATCCGGATTGTGAGTTGAAGTTGCCGTTGCCATTAGCGCGTAGGCCAGCGTTAGGGGTGAGGTATTGGCGAGAGGCAGCACCTCCAAAACCAGAAGCGGAGCCTCTAGAACCACCGAAACCGGAACCAGAACCAGCTGAGCCACCAAAACCGGAACCGGAACCAGCTGAGCCACCAAAACCGGAACCAGCTGAGCCACCAAAAGCGGAACCGGAACCAGCTGAACCACCGAAACCGGATCCAGCACCAGCAGAGCCTCCGAAACCACGAGCAGGAGCGCCATATTGGTTTGAAGATCCAGAGTTTCCTCCTTGACCGGAGTATCCTCCTTGACCGGAGTAACCACCGGCACCTCCAGCACCAGCGCCTTCACCGCGGTATGAGCCTGTAAGAATATTTAAAATTAGCTACCCGTCTAGACATAAATTTAACTTAAAATGGATCAAAGTTTTATTTGGAATAGATTAACAATACAAAATGTTTTATTAGTTTGAACTTAATTATCATTAATTAAAAGTCTGTGGTTAGCCTAATTTTAGACTGGTAATAATAAAGAGATAGAGATGTAAAGTTCGATGTCAAAGTGAAAAAAATTACGAGATGGCTTACTACAAAGTAATTACTATTATTAAGATTCTAGTTTAAATTTAAACGTACAAACGACCTTTTCGGAACAATTGAATAATAAGCGGTATAACAAGTGGGCCGGTAATCGTGGACCATTTTCACTTGCAACATAATGCTTCGTACATGCATATATTCTGAATATTACTTCGAGGCTCTTAAAATAGAGATTGTTATTATAGATCATTATAAATTGCTACATTCTTATTTAAATCAAAATTAGTGTAGTAGTGTCCTTCTATTTTTCTCGTTTCGCTCAGGTTTGTCCCTAGTGAAAAACAGAAAGAAATCTATCCCACGGGAGCCATGCATTTTTTCGGGATAAAAAGTAACTTATGTAATATTTCGGACTATAATCTATCTCTATGACAAATTTCATCCAGATCAGGTTGAGTAAAAAACATGGATCCAAACTTTCACGTTTATATTATTATCAATTAATACGATTGAGTATGATTGCTTATGATGGCGATATTGCTTAGTTTTATTTATAAAAATCGGTGTAGTTTTAAATATTGTACTAAAATTTAAAAATAAATATATAAATTTAGTTACAGTAAAACCGCTATTTTTCTGGCCGCACAAAACAGTCTCTTCCGAAAGCTTTTCAAGGCTGCGATCGGAAACGAATTTGCATTAACGGTGACCTTTGATTCACATCTTTTACGCGTACTTAATCTAGAGTAAAATCTGTAAGCTCTGTAGTTATAAAATGAACTTAGATTTATATACAAGTATTTGCAGGTGAATGGACACACCATTTATGGAATATGATTTCGAAAATAGAAATATTACACTTTGACATAAAATTTTGAAAACCATACCACAGAATAAATTTCATCTCAGAAAAAAAAGAAAATAATGACTTTAAAAAAAACCTTTTTATATGTAATCTGGCAACAAAAAATGAGAAAAAAACGATAGTTTAACCTACTGTTGATAACTTTAAAGCTTAATTTCATTTCTCAAACGAACTTTAAAACACTTTTTGTCAAGTTTCAAAACGATTTCGCTACTGCGATGAACTAAGTCATTTAATTAAGTGTTATACAATCTTAATGATGTATTTGCGGAAGGTTACTTTAGAATATTACGTAAAAGGACTTGACCTGAATAGACACATCTAAGACACGCTCGCACTTGTAATTAAACGTATGTATGTACCTACATAGTTCATCTTTAACCAATATCTAACGATAATTTTAGATGTTGACATTTTACTTAGAAAAATCTTATATTATATTTATGGTAGATCGATATAATTACAGTTAATTTAGAGACAGACAATATAAATGTGATTTTAAGTTTCTCCGTTTTTTGTGCAATAATACAACTAATTTTTTGTCATATTTAGTTAAAATTTTAAGTTAGAGGAAGAGAAATGTTACTTTTTTCGATATATCAAGTGGTTTCCATATTAATATTTCAGTATACATATATAAAAATTTGTTAATAATAAATAACCATGAATAAATCATACTTTTTAAATTAAAAATATATGTCTAATAACTTTAGACTAATTGTTCTACCCTTGTGTATGGGTGTTTTTAACCAAAAAAATTTGAAAACAAATTAGATTTCTTCTTCTAAGAATTTAATTGTATTTCCTTTTTTAAATTCGAGCAAAAAATAGACTTTTAACGACATTGATAACAAAACAAGCATGTACTTTCTGACAAAAACTAAGAAAACTACAAATAATCATCTTTAAAACTTAAATATCTAATTCCAGAAAGCTTTTCTCAATTAACCTCACAATGACCATACTGTTTAGACACATGTGAGAAATATGCTAAGTGGTTCTTTAAAACAAGATAACCTAATGCTCTCTTTGTTACAGTTTCCCATACGTTTCTAGTTATGTGAAATGATTTTGTCATGTCAGATTACATCTCAGGACAAAACGAACATGTTGAAACCATCAATTAAATTCAGATTCACTTAAAGTGTCAAAGTAATACTCAATAAACTATTTTTCCTCTATGTCAGGAGTAGTAGATTTGATTCCTGCGTAGAGTAAATTTTATAATCGATGTGTACTACACTATACATCGCTATTCAGCATCCGTTTTTTAAGACAAAGTACGTAAAGATCATGTTCAATAATAGAATAAGCAGAAAGTTCTAGCAAATCTTGTATATATGTATTTAATATAAAACTGTCTAATAAACTACTTTTTGCCCGCTGCCTCGCTCGCTTGGTTAGTGGTGGGGATCATGGAATCCTATGTCCTTACTCAGGATGCAATTTATATCCTCAAAGTTTTATCGAAATCTGTTCAGTGGCTTCAGCGTTAAAAGGTAACAGACAGAGTTACATTATAATGCATATGGAATAGTGTAAAATTTTCTTCGATATTTTTCCACTCTTAAGAGTAGAATTTTTTATTTTTTTAAAGTCGATAAAAGGCTATTTAACGGATATCATTATACATTTTGACTTATAAGTATTTGCTCATCTATCGCTATATTACAAGTAAATTATGCGTAATCATCGCAGTTGTATGAAAGCATGTACAAACGTTGAGAATCCGATTATCATTAGATACTCGTAATTTTATATTGCGTCTAATAGCGTTTCTCTTGGCCGATCTGCCATCGTTTCAATATTATGACACTTCCAGTTAAATTATGTACGCACTAATAGTTGTTGTATTTTCGATATATTCTCTTTGATTACATTTTGTACTGCAAAGTTTATCTCAAGCGACTTTTGAATCTAAAAATAACAAAATTTTAAATTCTAAATATACCTTGTGCGTAGCAATTAAATATTTTATTATAAAAAAATATAAAAAGCACTCAGAGCTTTCTTTTACATATTTTTTTTAATTATGTTTTAATATAGGTAATTATAATTTAAGTTTGATAAAACTAAAATAATAACATATCTAATGTAATTGCAAAATTATATTTGGAAAGAAATTCTACAAGCAAAATAGGTAGGCGACATAAAAGCAAAATAACTTTAAGTCCGCGCCAAATCTTATTTTACGTAAGTAGAGTGAGATATTTCTGATTGCAAAAGCCAGTAGCATCAAAATGACGCCTCACGACTGCCTGTTTCAACAAACGTACATATATAGAGCTGGCATTTACTTTCAGGACTAACCTTAGGATTTGAGCCCGTCTCTACCACGCCTCGAACTCGACACGACGTATTTCTTATTGTAATATCATGATCGCCACTTTCACAATATTCTTTGCTAATATTTACTCGATAGATACCTATTAATTTATTAATAAACATGTCTCAGATTCGATTCTCGCATGAGGTATCATTGTTGACTTAACAGTTGTTTCAGTGGTAAATACGAGAGTATGATATTTGGAACATTAAACTATATTTGGTTATGTAGAAAATATAAAGAAATATAATAATTATAATCTACACAGTATTTATAATTATTTAGTATTCTAAGCTAACATACGCCACGCTTGAATTTCAAAGACACGAGCTCAACAACATCTTAAGTACGTACAAGCACTACAAATCTATTAAGTTTCAAAATTATTCTTAATGGGACATAATAATTGCTATGAAAGATAATTAAAGCAAACCTTTGCCCTATCTGTCTTGAATCGGTGGCTAACGAACTGATGCAAGCTATCTTCAGGTGTAATTGTAGGGTGACGTAGTACGTGCTATTAGAGAGACTTTCTTGGTTCATTACTAACAGTTTATTATGTGGTAAAATTTACTGAGTGGTTATTTACAATTTAATATATAAATTTTTATCGGTAAAGTGCAGTATATTTTTTTTATAAAAAAAGACGCTTCGCTTATTTTATTTAAATGAAAATTCTTCGTAATTTTAGTTAGAATCTAATTACACAAAGGTGTGTAATAACCTGTGCTGTACCGCATTTTTCTTCGGACTTGAAAAAAATGTTTATTGCTAATACTCTGAATAGACCTTAATATGAACATGTATATGAATTTCAATTAGGATTTTAACCGTATTTCCGTAACAAACTAACGACAGATGTAGAGGATTGTTTTTGTAATATCATGTAGAGATAGCTCAAAATTTAAATAATTTGTGCCTTTAATGGTTTAGTCTTACGTAAATGTGTTGTCATCCTAAAATAATTGATGCACAGTACTAATAGCTATCGCAAGGTCGAGTCGTGGTTCTTCTCCATATTTAGTTTGGAATTACTTCGATCTTTATGACTATCATACTTAGTGGTGTATAGCGGTTGCGAATTTATTCTCATTAAGTATAATGCTTCATTGGTATATGTTTTTTGTTTCATCAAACTAGTCCAAAGTTTTTGCATGAGCGTAAAAACTTAAGTGGTCAGCTAAATATTGTAGGTAACATGAGATGATTACTTATTTTTTATATGTCTGATATATTTTTTATAAACATACTTATACGAAATTATCGAGAAAATTCGGCCTTAGAAATAAGGCTTTATGTTCAAATTTCTGACTTCGATCATCTTGATTTATGACCATTCATGTTATATAACCGTTACAAAATCAATACATACAAGAATGTCCATAAATTATATGAAGTAATATTGGCTAGTGCATATAAAGGTATATAACTTACCATCATCAATGATGCCAGCAGCTTCATCACGGGCGTTTTGCTCCAAGGATTTCAGGATAGCTTCGGGAATTGGGGGTGGGGTGGGCAAGTGAGCGCCAGAAGGTTGGTAACCATTTTCGTCAGCGGTATACTGAATGCTGTAATCTTGGCCATCGTCGCCTTTGTACGAAAAGCTGCCTTGAGATTGTACACCATTGGTAGCTACTCCAGATGCATCGGCTCTTATTCCGTTAGATGTTTCGAAATCGTAAGAAAAGCCTTCAGCAGTTACTTCGCTGTTTAATCTGAGGATTTGGGCGTTAGCGTCAGCAGAGTTGCTCCTGCCTCCTGCTTGATAACTACCTTGGTAGTTTCCGGCTCCAGCTCCAGCCCCCGCTCCTCCAAAACCTGATCCAGCACCCCCAAAACCAGACCCAGATCCTCCAAAACCGGAGGCTCCACTGCCTCCAAAGGCACCACCATTGGCACCTCTACCTATGCCAGACCCGAAACCAGCAGGTCCATTACCAGCGCCATAGCCTGCACCTGCTCCTCCTCTAGGAGGGAGGTAGGCATTATCAAGGCGGGCTGCAGAGCAGACACCAAGTATAGCGGCTACAATGAACTGTAAGAAAAGATAATATGCGTTTTAATATATGTATAATATATATACCTTAAAACATTTATAAATTACACTTTATGAAAAAATGTAAAAGAATTATTGATGTTAATTGTGGTAATAGTAAAAGTTATAACGGATCCATGCAGTTTTCTATAAAAGGTCGAGGTTCATAAACAAAATGCCAATAAATGTGGTTTAAATGTTACAGAATAAAGCTTATTGTTCTTAAGTATGAACTTGCTTGGGGGTAAAATATTTATCTCTGTGATAGATCATTTAAATTGCCTGACTATTGAATAATATGCTAAATGTTACGTCTAGAAAGAAAATGACCATGCATAAACAGAAATGAAATCATAGTTTTGCATTAAGACCTCTCTATTGCATTATAAAGTTAATGAAATAATAATAGAAAATGGCTTATTCTATCTTCTTCAAGAAAAGCTCAAATTTAGAAGTAAAGCTCTAGATGAATATTGCTAATTTAGTGTTAGGAAACAATCTGATTGTGACATAGCAGTCTATTTCAAGAATATGATGCTTACAATTAAAGCATAAAAATAATATTATAATACATTTTATATACAAGAATATTTTTATGTTTGTATATATATTTTTAAAATAGAGCAAAAATTTTAAAACACTTTATAAAATAGAGAGCCATAAGCTCTACATTTCTTTACATGCAAAATTTTATTACCATATAAGTTTATATGTGAATTTTTGCCAATTTAAAAAGGCTTTAAGGATCTATTTTTGCAAAGCACGCCTTTAACGCAACTCTACCTTTTAGCAAATATATTCTTTCTAAGAATTAGTTCAAAGCTAGTACTCACCAGTTTCATATTTGCAATATTTACTGATGCGTCTTGGATGGTTTGCGATGAACTGTGCTCTCCATTCGTGTTCTGATGGTTATATACCCCTTACTTAGAATGCTTAGCTCACTGAAAAGGTATCACGGTCACTATGGCGCATCTTAAGGTCTTGTAGAATGTATAAGGGATCAAGTATAGCGCTTTTTCTGCATTTTTCTCGTATTTCGTAATATTACAATTATATCGTACTATTCAATAATTGAGTAGGAATTTAATTGTTTTTTTTTAATTATAATTAAAAGCTAAGCTTCGATATTAATGTAAGCTTTAAGTTTAAAGTTAAAACAAAATAATGTCAATGCAAGAAAATTTCAAAATTATATATGTATATGACATTGTATTTTTATATTGTTGTATCAGTTTCTCAATTATACGTGATCGATAGTTAAGTAAGCTTAGGTGTGTTACATTTACGGAGTTCGAATTTTGTGGCAACATACCGTTATTACAATATTATACATAAATATTTTATAAAAGACATTAAATTTTATTACATTAAAATACTATTTATGCATTCTTTACGATATGACTTATAGTAAATTTGATTTAAAAGTATATATTGTATAGGTGAGAGTCATGAATATCATAAAAGATTAATTTTTTTACTTCACATTTAATTACACGTCAGAAACGTCAGATTAAATTGTTCCATTCGATTAGTTGTAATTTATCTAATTCACAGTATGTAAGCTCTTTTAAAATATATATTATTTACACTTTGTATTTAAATGGCAATATTCCTACATCAAAAATACGAAAATGTAGGCACGATTTCTTACTTTAGTTAGAAAATATATTATTTTATCTACTAGCGACTCACCTCGCTTCGCTCTGGCTCGTCCCTGGTAGTAGGATTTTTGGTGATAACCACACCTCTGTAGTCGTGTTTGCTGATATGTTGTATGGTTTCAAAAATATATTTCGCCTGTTAAAACAATGAGGGGTCCACCACATATCACTATAGGTGATTTTTTAAATTGACATAACATTTTATTCATGAACCGATTGAAATAAAACAAATACTTAATTTTAGCTGAAGCTTACCACAATACATTAATCAAAAACCGCTAAAGCTGTTTCTGAGATTAGCGCGCACAATCGCACAGACGAACAGACTAAAATTCTAAAAATCATTGTTTTCGGTTCTATTGCGTTAATAAACATCCCCAATAGTTTTTCTCAAATATCTTCCAGGAACAGACAATGACCATTTACGTTTTTATTATATGTATAGATTACTAGCGATGTACTCTCGCTAGATGGCTAACAGTAGCTTATGTGTTACTGCAGGTCATACTCTGTATACTAAATTTCATTCGAGTTATTTCAGTGTGAACGAGTTACAAGCATACACAGACAAACGTTCGCATTCATAATAGCAGTCGAATACTATTCACTAAACTATCATAGAAATAGTAACTATGACAATGGTGATGCCATGGTAGCTTGGTGGTAACGTGCTCGCTTGGGAAACCGAGTGAAGCGGGTTGGAACCCCGGGCTTCGCAATCTGATCTGAATTATTTTCAACATGATTACCACTTATCTTACTTTAAAGGAGATCGTGAGGAAACCTGTATGTTAAAATAGTAAGTTTTCAAAAGGTATGTGAAATCTGCCTATCCGCATTGAGCCAGCGTGGTCTACTATGCCCTGATCCGTCTCGTACTGAAGGAAGGCCCATGCCCAGCTGTGGGACATTAAAAAAGCTGATTACAATAAACACAAAACAATAATCAAGTACTGTGTTGCAGTCAGCTTGTACATATGTCTCCTAAAATAACTGTTCGATTGTTAATTGATGTTAATCGATAATTGCATGCATGATAGTATTTTTTAATTTCAAAAAGAAAAAAATTACTTATATTATTAGTTTACTAAAAATCAATGGGTAATAAGGTGTACACTTTACTCTTTATAATCATATAGTCCATGGATGAGAGAGAAAGAGATAATCGATTAACTATTCTGCGTGCTTTCCGTCCCCGGATGTAACACCACACGCCTTCTAACTCCAAGTTGCGAAAACCCAGTGACTGTACATGGTTTGACCTATAACCTGAACCCAGGATTTTAGAATGTGTAGCCAAGCATTCTATCCAATATAGATACACGAGACAGTCAAAATTATATTAAATAAGTGTATCAAAACAAACAGTTGTATAGCTAATTTAAATATTTGCCGCGAACGAGAATCGAACTTCCCACCATCTCATACTGTGTTTATTTTTACATTTATGTCGCCGATTATTGAAAAGTTCGCATGTTATTCTAAAGTATAATTATTTTTAATCCTAAAACGGATATCTCCATTTATTCTATCGCGTTAGAGAAACAATCAGTAGCTCACGTTAAGAAACAACGGAGATGCGACTTTATATTATCTATTATGTTATTGTGATGACAGTAATTACTTACATTCTTACGGTATATCTATGAAAACATACGGTTTTGTATTCGCGTGAACTGAGCTTTGTAAGTTTATTTAGTTAGTTAGTTTTATAGATGCGAAAGCTTCTATGTGTGTAGAATGTATGTGTATATTTGTTACAACTTTAACACCTCCAGTTAAATTTCTAAGAAATTATTTAAATTTTTAAGAAATTAATTGTTAGCTGTAACACCGTTGTGCCCGCGGCCTTTGCCCAGCAGTGGGGCCTTTTAAAGAGCTGAATAAAATAAGTTTAATATTATTGTTTTTTTTTTAAACAAAATTTTAATTCTCAGTTTATCAATAGATGGCGTTGGTAAAGAGCTTTTAAATATAATAAAAGTAAACAAGTTAAATGTTCGACGTTTTTCTAGACAGCACATTTGCAACTCAACGTGAGAATCTCGAGCGGTTTAGAAATATTTTTTATGCATCAGTGTATAGTTATTCGTGAATGATTTCATTCTCGTGCATTTAAAAAGGTGTAATTTTAACGTTAATTTGGCAGGTCAATTTATTGATGTGATTATTTTGATAAAACTTGTTGCAATCTAATCACGATTTTGATCACTTTTTATATTAATTATATTTTTCTCAATTCTTTTTCTTAGAAAAATCTAAACTAGTATAATATCGTCAGATTGATACCAAATTGGATAATTCTAAAATTAGAAACTAGTTTTTCAGATTACTTTGACTGTTTTCTGTCGGGTATAGGTATACTATTATTGATACATTTTAATTGTATTATAACAAGATAATAAGTTTATTGCACTCTTATGTAGGAAACCATGTTTCATCCCATCACTAAGTGAGAGAGATCGGGCTATGGTCCAGTATGCTAGCCAAGTGCGGGTTGGCGAACTTAACAATATGTCTTTCGAAAAGTTAAGTTCTCTCAGATATACAGGATTCCTCACGATGTTTTTCTTGATTTGTTTACTAAAAGATAATGCAAGTGGTAATCATCAGATTATCAGAGGTGGAAATCTGATATTTGTACTCACTTCATTTGGTTTCCAAACCATACATATAAATATAAACATGTTGGGACATTAACACACAGCATTATCTGTTATGGATACCAGATAGTTCATACACTACATATTATTTTAAATACATATATATTATAAATACCCATGACTGGAGTACAAACATCATTCATCACACAAATGAATCCCTCCAGCGGGTCTCGAACCCGCGATCGCTGGCACAGCAAGTAGGTTCTCCAAACTGTGCGATACGTGTCTTCAAACGTAATTGAACTCGCAAGGATATGCATAATATGGAAATTACTTTAAATGTAGGATAATAAAATAAAACTATACCAAAGAGGATTTTAAAATTTTATTATGTACATATATGTTCATATGTATGTATGTATGTATGTATATAAATAATTTTTACATAATATATGAGAATTACATAAATATGTATTTATACCTGCAGTTAAAATGACGGAAGCTAAATGACGAACAAATTATTATTGGCGTTTAGAGCTGACGTATATATTCGATATAACGATTGCCTTCGGACGAACGCCCTACGCCTTATCCATGCATGTATATGTATGGAAGTGACGACCGGGTCTTAGACAAAACTTAAACAAAAATATCATTCCACGTTACGTTAAGGAATAGGAATTTTAATTAAAATTTTTTAAACCTTGACAGAAAAGAAATACAGATTGTTAATTGGAACTATATGATATAGATGCTTAATTTATATTTTATTTAGAAATAGAGATAACCAACTCTCTTGTATAAGAGAGTTGGCTAAAAATATTTTATCTATTGTGCAGTAAAAAATATAATAATATTATCTAATTCACAAATCTAAAATTTAATATAATAATTCTAAAATATATTTAAATCTTTTTAATTCCCTCGACACTAATTTGGTCAGCTGTGAAATGAAATGAAATTTCAAATGAAATTTATTTATTTAGTAACAATTCTTATACATTAGTTAAACAATGGCTACGATGATGCGGCAAAAGTATAAAATGCGTTCCAGATATCAACACCCGCCTCCGTAGTACTTAATTCTTTAGTCTCTTCATACGAAATCGATTGAAGCCATGCTAAGCATTCAGATTTACAACGATAAGGTATGACTGGATATATATTTAATAATTCATTGATTATATTGTAGAGCAAACAGCTTGCATACGGGTAATGTCGTTTTGCGACCGCGGTTCCTGAAAATATGTTATTACTCGTACTATATACGTAGCAGTAGTGGTTAGTAATTTGTCTTTTTAAATAATAGAAAACTAAATTAAAATTATAATCCTTAATTAATTTTAACTTTTTAAATTACACAGAACAATTAATTATATGGCTTAAATAATTAGTATAATATTTTATATTTTTTCTTTGTGGTTATAAATATAATAATGGCAACACTAAATATTACTAATTAATTACTATTATTATTACTTAGAAAGATTACTAATTAATATTTTTAAAATTGTAAAAATTATAATAATAACAGCAAAAATTAAATAAATAATATTCCATATTCAATTATAAAAC